CCTTCTTAAGGATGACTTTAAAATATGTGGAGGTGAGAATCCCTGAGTTCAAAGCAGAAGAAGTTTGCTTTTGGCCTGTTTATCATTGACTCCTTTGTGCAACTCACTTAACTTCTGGGGCCTCTGTTTTCAGAAGGGCAAGCAGGGTGAGCTCCACAGCTCCAAAGCACTCATGGAGTTGTTGGGAGAATTCTGATAAGAACTAACAGACTTGAAGAACTTTAAAATAATGACAAGAATCACAGAAATGCGGCAGACATTATTAGTTTTGCCTGCCAAAGTCATCCTCTTATAGTTTTAATGAAGAGATCTGCAGAAAGTAACAGTCAGCACTGAATTTTACACCTGCTAAGGCTCTAAGTACCTGGGCCATTTGCTTAGCTCCTGCTTTTCTTACCTCTGCAGAAATTTGTTAGATAGGAAGAGTGGAGAGATGCAATAAAACCTCTCTGAATTTTATTTCATGAAAAAAATTGGTCCTTCCTTGAAAAGGATGTCTTTTTGCTTGTTGTTAGAGTCAAATATAAAAACCAAACAACCCATAGTGTTCTTTGGCAATCGCAGAGCCTATAGTAGAGCCCAGTTATAGAGAACAGCTCTTCTCAGATGGCTGGAAACTTTGACTTCTTCCAGACCCCTTTGGTGGTCTCTGCTTTGATTTTCTAACCATATGCTTTAGCTTACTCTGGTAAGGCACCTCAATTCCTTTTGAAAATAAGCAGATTGTAAATGCTAAGTAAATAAAACTATGGGATGGGGGGTAACTACAAATTTGGCTATGAGCTGCTGTCATGAATTGTAATCTGTAACCTGCTGTGTCTTTTCCAATTCCTTCAGTACCTATGGTCCTTGTAATCCTGGATGCAATACCTTGGCCATGAGTGCACTAGGGAGAAAGTGTTCCAATGTTTCTTTTGGCCTAAAGATGGAACAGGTAGAGAAATCAGTGAACATTAGAACTTTAGTATCAGTTTAATCAGATTTCCTGCTTTCTGTCTTCTTGTGCATAACAGGTTGGAAGAAAAGTTGCTTAAAATATTAGGAATTATTCCCTAAATATATTCTTAAGATTAAAACTTCACCCACTCAATCACTCAAATCAGAAACTCACTCTGAACTTTTCCTCTGTTGTACCATCAGACAATCACTGACACTTTGACTTCTATGGTTCATGCCAGTGTTTTCAAGCCTGGAGGCACATTAGAATCACCAGGGGGGCTTTGAAAAATGTGATGCCTGGGTCTTACCTCCAGATAGCAAAGCAGTTGTCTGGATGTGGGAACTTGGTGTCAGTATTTTTAAAAACCTTCCCAGGGGGTTTTAATGAGTGGCCAGGGTTGAGAACCATGTGTCTAAGCTAGTTTTAAGCAATGCTATCCTTCTTTTGTGGTTCCATAGCCTCATCGTGTCTCTCTTGGATTAGTGAAATTGCCTCATAGCTAATTAACCTCCCTGTACTTTAGCTCTCTGTCAGCGCTATAGTTTATCTCTTGATAACACTAATTTGACTTTTTATTTCTGGTCTTCTGCATCAAAGGGGTACAAAAGGGTCCCTTTCCACCATATGCAGATTTTCTCTTACCTGAACGTTTATTAAGGAGTCACTGCATGTCAAGCACTGTGTCAAACATAAACATAGTATTTTATTTGCTACAGCAACCCAAGTGGTAGATGACAGAATTATCTCCATGTTACAGAAAAGGAATTGAGATCCCCAGAGGTGAAATATATTGCACCATCTTAGAGGCAGTAGGTGATAGAGACAGAGCCTAAATGCAGGTCTGTGTGTGCTCTTAACCATTGCAAAGTTTTACCACTTGTTCAAAGTAAAGATAGAAGAAAGAATGCATGGGTTTACAAGCTCTTCTTTTAGATATTTCCTAAGATATTGGAAGGATAAAAGATATTTAGGCTCACAAGTACAAAGAGAGTAGGAGAGAGGACACTAGTTGAATGATTCAATCATATCTCAAAAGACAGAAAAGGGATGGAGGAGAAGGGATGGGGGAGAAGGATGCACTTACATAAGTGTATCTAGGATGTTATGTCTTATAGGACAAATGAGACAGTGGTACCAACAAGGAGAGTAAGTTCATCCTGTAGCATTATAGCTCAGGAGCTAGGAATCTAGTAACAGTACCGAGGGTGGGAAGTCAAATACATGAGGAATAGCTTACCTTGCTTACGATATGGGCATAAAACCCCAAGAGCTGTTTACTCACCCCTAGGCAGAAGGAAGATTTGTTATTTGGAGAAATAGGAGCAAAGAGGCTCAGGACTGGAGACAGAATGCACAGCATGGCAGGAGTCAGACTTCATGCTGTGAGGGAATTAATTGCAAATCTGCCTGTGGAATGGTCTTACTCTACCTGGCCTTCTGGTGCTTTTTGACTGTAGGAAGCCTCTCAGACAGGACATCAGAGGACTCTTCTGGACAAATAGAATGGCTTCTGGGAAAGGATACGGGCTTATCTTGCATACTAGTATTTCAGAGTTCTCCGAGAGAATGATTTCCTAACCAATCATCCCAAAGAGAATCATCATGCAATGGGGCTAAGAGGAGGAAGCCCTGTATTAGTATTCTATTGTTGCTCTGATACATTGCTGCAAACTGAGCTTTCCATTGTTGCTGTGACACATACTTTTCAGTTCTGTAGATCAGAAGTCTGACACAGACCTTGTTGAGCTAACATCAAGGTCTGAATACATCTCCTTTCTGGAGGTTAAGGGAAATTCATTTCCATGCTTTTCTCCAGCTTCTAGGGACTGTTGCTTTCCTTGGCTTACGGTCTCCTTCCTCCATTGCCAAAGGAAGCAACATTGTCAAAATCCTACTCATGCTGTCTTCTCTCTGTTTCTCTTCTTCCAGACTTTCTGCTTGCAAAGAGCCTGGTGTTTATGTTTAGCTGGCTTGGATCATTCGAGCTACTCTCCCACCTTAAAGTCAGCTGATTAACAACCCAAAGCCCTGGCACTGTAAATCACCTTTGCTATGTTTTGTAATGCATTCATACCATATTCATAGGCTCTGGAGGGGGAGGTGTGGACGAGGAAAACCTGAGAAATTGCCACAGGGTGTCTAAGGAGACATGAAGAGGAAATGTAATGTGGGCTCAGGAACAGAAAAAGGGCATCAGTAAAAATTTACAAAATCTAGATTTGGATTAATTATATATATATGATCATTAATTATGACAAATGTACTACATTAGTAAGACATTACGTTATTAATTCGATTTACTAATAATTGGGAAAACTGGGTGTGGCGTATGTGGAAAATCTCTTTAGTATCCTGACATATATTTTTCTGGCAACCTAAAAATATTCTAAAATGAAAAGTTATTTTTAAATAGATAATAAAATTTGCCCCTGGAGGTTCAGACAGAATGAATGATATGATGGGGAAGAGGCTTTGTTTGATACTCTCCTTCTGAAAATTACATTTTAAAATCATGTACGTATACACATACTATTTTGTAAAAATATAAATATATATGTAGTTCCTCCTCTCTGCTCACTCTGCACCTTCCTTCTAGAATGCCTTCTTCTCATCTTTGCCCTGTAAATATTTCTTAACTCTGTAAGATCCAGCTCAGATGATGTCTGTACCAGATCCCCAATGAAATGAATCACTCCCCTTTTGGTTCACCCTTCATTTTTACCTGCTGCTATCATAATTATGGACACATCATTCTCCATCATTATTATTTGTTCAGTGTCTGTATGCCTACCAGGATGTGAGCTCCCTGAGGCAGAAACTGTCTTACAGCACCTTGCTCAGAGTAGATACTAAAGAAATATATATCTATATCTATATCTCAAGTTAATGACTGGGAAAATGAATCAATGGATCAACAAATAAACTTATGAGAGCAGCACTCTACAGGAGAACCACTGGCTTGTTTATGTTCTTGAGGTCTAAGAGTTTTCCTGATAACTACAAAGGTTATCATATCTGACTGTGAGTTTGGATCAACAAAATTACTGTCTTGGCACACACAGATAAGACAAGCTGATGCTTAAGCACTGAACTTGTTTGCAAAAGAAAAGTGTGTACGATGAGCTTAATACAAAATAGTCATAAAATATCTATAAGAAAACAAGGTAGGGTTTGGGGTGTAGCTCAGTGGTAGAGCATTTGACTAGCATGGGTTCAATCCCCAGCACCAGGACAACAAACAAACTAATATACACACAGGTGACAAAATAGACTTAATGATATAAAATATATTTTAAAATATTTATGCAATTAAAGGCAGTGAATAGTGTAGTATATAGCGAAATCAAACAGAAAATACCTCTGTTTAAATATTGCTTTGAATTCTTTGCCCAGTGTTGTTTCTACAACATCTGATTTCCTACCCTTTTGTGTGTGTGTGTGTGTGTGTGTGTGTGTGTGTGTGCATTGCTGGGAATTGAACCTAGGCAAGCACTCTGTCCAAATTTTCCACTTCTTCTGGAATAAAATCCAAAGTCTTTCCCAAGGCCTCTGAAAGGCTCTTTCTGTGTCTGGCATCCTTCAAGTCTCAGCTCAGATTCAGGGAGCTCCTCCCTGGCCATTACCTTGAATAGAGCCATCTCCAAGTTATCATCTGTCTTCCATCATCCTGTCTGTATCCTTTATAACATGCATCACCCCGATAATCTCCATGCTGATTTATTTGTTTGTTTTTCAGATCTTAGCTCTTACCTGTTTGTGTTTTGTCTATCTCCCTGCTAGAAAATAAGCACACCTTGGGCCTGTGACCGAGAGTTGAAGTGCAAGGACTAGCGCTTCATGCCCCTCTGAGGGGTCCTTGTAAGCAGACCAGGGTAGGGGCGCTAAGGGAAGGGGCTGCTTGGCTCAGTCAGTATTCTCTCTTCTGTTCCCTCAGTGTCTTAGCTGGAAAGGCAATGTCTGAGGAACCTATAACTAAGGATCCACTATTTATTTTTTTCTCTTGGACTATGAGCAGTCTTTCTCTGATCCATTACACGTGCTCTGATGTGTGATTTTTCAGGTACTCAGGAATACATCATGTGGAGTACAGTCTTCAAAATGCCTGCCAGGAGGCACTTGTAACATGGCCTGAGGATGATTTCCAGCTTTGTTATTTATCTGAGTATCCACTCTACGGCCTCCATACCATTTGTACGGACAGCAGAGAGAACTTCTAACAGGAAATATAGTTCCAGACCTGGTCCAGCAAGTGGGGCTGAGACAAAGTGTATACATCATCACACCTTCTGACAAATACTCTTTTGCTGTCATTTGCTGTCTAAAAGAAAGGAAGAAAGAAAGAAGGAAAGAAAGAAAGAGAAAGAAAAAGAAATGGGAGGAAGGAAGGAAGGACGGAAGAACCGAAGGAAAAGCAACAGAAAAGGCAACCATTCATAATAAAAATGGCAGGACATAAGTTTGGGTTCAGAAGGTAAGAGGAACTGGCTCAAACTTACAGCAGCAGTTTCTAATTGTCATTGCAAACATATGAATGGATATATTTTAATCAATGGCGTTAAAAACATAAAAAGAAAATAAGCATGGGTGACCTTCATCTTAAAAAACACTTAAAGGCATTCAGAGTCAAGTGATTTAGTGATGCTATCATATATCTAGTAAAACTTTTACATGTGGTAGAAATTCAGATTTGGCAGACGTGAAGACAAAAATAGTTTTCTGAACGAAGGAGATTCTTTAACACTGAGAACTTTCTGATGAGAACATAGCTCATGGGAGCAATCAAATTGGCTACAGTCCTTTTTCTGAGAACCTAGTGTTTGAAAATCTAAATAAATATTTGGAAGAAAGAAGATATTGTTTGCATTAAAATGTTTATAGCTATTCTATTTGTAGCAACAACAATAAACACAAAACAGTCTGGAAATATGGAAATCTCTACAATTGACAACATAAATGTAATTAATGTATTGATTTAATGTCAGCATCTAAATGGTAGGTATGAGAACTAGATGAACATGTGGGAAATTATATTTTAAATAACATTAAATGAGAAATATAATATGGCATCAAGTAGTGATTATAATTCTGTACAGATATCTTGAAGAACATAATCACATAAAAGCTATTAGAAGTGGTTATAAAATATTGGCTATTTATGGAAACTGGATGGCCCAGTTTTTAAAATATAATTATCTTGATGTCTTCTTATCTTCTACTATACTGTTGGTTAAATATATTCTAATTAAAAACTTCAGCAAGTAGAATTATTTTACACAGGTCTCACTACATAGTTCAGGCTGTCCTTGAACTCACTGCAATCTTCCTGCCTCAGCCTCCAAAGTGCTGGGGTAACAGATATGTGATGCCACATCGGGTGCAAATAGAATTTTTAAATAAACTCCATTTCCAGGAGTGTGAAGATTCCCCTACCCCCTTGCATGGTGAGAAAGAGTAAGCATTTAGGTATACTCTCCCTGCAAGTGTATCTGGGGCAGGGGAAAAAGCACCCTGCTCAATCCATGGCCAATTTTTAGACAGTGAGGCAACGGCTGAGTCAGAAATCTGTACCCTGATATCTTTTCTGCTTTTGTAACTAAATCCCATTTTTAGCAGAACTCAGAGTCACATGCAGTAAAAATTGCACTTTCTAGTTTCCTTTGTGTATATGTGCAATTAGGTGACAAAGTTTTGGTTAATAGCTTATAAAGAGATGCACTATGAATAACTTCCAAGAAGCATCTTTGAAGAATCAAGGTGGGTTTTTCTCCCTATTTCTAGCTCTCCGGAAAGCAGATATAGTGGCTGGAGCCCCAGCAATTCTTTGGGGAGATTATGATAAATGTTGCAGATAGCATAGTAATAGGATGTAACCTTGCTTTCTGAGATGCCTTGGAATGCTACTTGGACTCTGGCTATAGAACTCTAAACATTTTACATAAGTGATTAAAATATTGTATGTCCAAACTACTGTTAATTTGGGATTTTTACTCCCAGCCAAATTGTACAATTTTCAGTTTACTTAAGTCTATAACTTTGTTTCTTAATTTTAAAAAGAGCAAGTTAGACTAGGTTATCTACTTTCCTACTACTTTAATACTTCTCTTTTAAAAAATTTAATTTTGTGGTATATTTTGGATATACATAATGATCACATTCATCATAGGGAATTTGTATCGCTATATAGCTTGATTCTTTTTTCCCCAGTCCCCTCCCCCAACCCCTCTTCTCCTTATGTACAAAAGTTTTGTTTCCATTTTTTCCTTTTTATTCTTTTTTTCTTTTCCCTTCTTTCCTTTCCTTTTCCCCCACTCCAGTTCCCCTCCCCATTTGAGCATTTTTTTCTTATCTCACAATATCTATTACACATTTTAGTCTTCATTTACACTTTTGATTTCTTATACCAGAGAAACAATGCAATATTTAAACATGTGCATCTGATTTATTTCTCTTGAGTATGGTCTCAAGGTGCACCCATTTACCTAGAAATATCTCAAGTTTATCCTTCTTTACGACAGAGCAGTATTCCATTGTATTAAAAAAAATCACATCTTCTTTATCCACTCATCAGTTGACGAGTATTTTGGGTATTCCACTATTACAAACTGTGCTGCTATAAACATGAGTGTGGTTATACCACTGTGGTATAATGCTCTTAATCCTTTCAGGAAGATACCAAGAAGGGGATTAGCAGGGTCAAATGGAAGCTCTAGTTTTACTTTTTTTGAAGAATCTCTGTACTCATTTCCATAATCAGTCTGCACTCCCACAAACAGTGGAAAAGGGTTTCTTTTTGGTAGCGGGGATTGAACTCAGAAGGCAGGTGATGGCACCACTAAGCTAAATCCCTGGCCCTCAAAGGGTTTCTTTTTCCCCATATCCACACCTGCATTTAGAATTGGCTGATTTCTTGATAGCAGCCATTCTTTCGGGGGTGAGATGGAATTTCAGTGTTGTTTTAATTTTTTTTAAATTATGGGTAACTCAATGTTTATTTTTTATTTTTAAAATTGAGTTTATTGGTACATTTTAGGTATACAGTACAATTACATTCATTATTGGGATCTTGTACCTTTACATGACAGGTCTTGGTTCTCATTTTTTCCCTTTGTCTCTGCCCTCCCTTCACCCAGTGTTGTTTTAATTTGGATCTCTCGAATGACCAGTGATGCTGAACATTTTTTCATGTATTTATTTGCTATTTGTACCTCATCACCTGAGAAGTGTCTATACATTTCAGATGCCCATTTTTGGATTACGTCTTTAAATATGAGAGGGGTCTGATTTTTTTTTAGTTCTTTATATATTATAGATATAAGTCCTTTGTCTGAAGAACAGCTGGAAAAAATTTTTTTCCCACTCTGTGTGTTGTCTCTTCACTCTGTTGGTAGTTTCTTTTGCTGTTCAAAAGGTTTTAAATTAGATGAGGTCCTAGTACTCAGTATCATTCTTGCAATATTTTAATCTTTGTGATCAGGCTTTTGTTCATAAAGTCTTTGCCTATACCTATATCTTCAAGAGTTCTACTTTGTCTTCCAGAAGATTTAATGCTTCTGTTTTAATATTTAGATCTTTGATCCATTTTGATTTTTGTTTAGTGCATGGTGAGAGATGTGGGTCTAGGTTTAATCTTTGGTGTGTGGAAAGCCAGTTTTTTCCAATATTTCTTGAAGTCTAAAGTGCATATCTCCTATTATGTACCTGTTAATGATTAGAGTCTTTCCCTCAAGATGTATCTGGAGTTCAAAAAAATGTCTACTCACAAAAGGGAGAAAATAATTTACAATTCTTTTCCCAGTACACTCACTGTTAGTATTCTGGTAAATCCTGTCATGTTCTATAAATGTGCATTACACCTACTTTTTATAACCTGCTATTCATTTCACTACATTGCAGATACATTTACAATCCATTGTAATGTTCTTCTTTATTTTTTCAGCTTTAATTGAGTTTATTGGTACATTTTAGGGATACAGTACAGTTACATTCATTGTTGGGATCTTGTACCTCTACATGACAAGTCTTGATTCTCATTTCTTCCCCTTACCTCTGCCCTCCCTTCACCCCCTCCACCCCTCCCCATCTACAAACACTTTATTTTCATCTTTTCATTCTCTCACATTTTTTTCTTTTCCCTTTTTACTCTTCCCCTACCCATCCCACCTTCCCTACACCTTTAGCTCCTTTCTTCCCATTTCTAAATGTCAGTAATCTTATAGAATCTTATGCATTGTTGCAGATTATTCACACCAGGGAAACTATTCGGTATTTACACATATGTGACTTATTTATTTCACTTAGGAGTATATCTTCAATATGTATCCATTTTCCTATGAATGAATCTATTTTCTCGTTCTTTATGGCTGAGTAATATTCCATTTTATAGAAAAACCACAACTTCTTTATCCAGTTTCCAACGGATGGGCAAATAGGCTATTTCCAAGATTTAGCTATTACAAACTGTGCCACTATAAACATGGGTGCACATAATTCTCTGTGATATGATTCTTTTAGTTCTCTTGGAAAGATACCCAGCAGAATGATGGCTGGGTCAAATGGAACCTCCAGTCCAAGCTCTTTGAGGTATCTCTATATTGATTTCCATAGTGGTTGCACTAATCTGCACTCCCACCAACAATGGAGAAGGGTTCCTTTCTCCCCACAACCCCGCCAACATTTCTTATTGTGTGATTTCTTGATAGCAGCCATTCTTTGTGGGGTGAGGTGGAATCTCAGTGTTGTTTTCATCTGCATCTCTTGAATGACCAGTGATGTGGAACATTTTTTCAAATATTTTCTTGCTGCTTTTACTTCTTTGTCAGAGAAATGTCTGTTCATTTCGGATGCCCATTTTTGAATCATGTCTTTATATTTGGGGGGACTGATTGTTTTGAGTTCTTTATATATCCTTGATAATAGTCCTTTGTCTGAGGAATAGCTGGTAAAAATTGTTTCCCACATTGTGGATTGTCTCTTTGTTCTACTGATGGTTTCTTTTGAAGTACAGAAGCTTTTTAGTAAGATGAGATCCCAGCTGTTGATTCTATCTGCTAGTTCCCGTGCTACTGAGGATTTGTTCATAAAGTCTTTTCCTATACTAGTGTCTTCCAGAGTTCTGCCTAACTTACCTT